TGACCGGGACACCTTCAAAACATGACCGGGACACCATCACAACATGATTGGGTCACAATCAAAACATGACCGGGACACCGGGACACCAGCATCACATGACCCGGACGCCATCAAAACATGACCGGGACACCATCCGCCCACCAGCTCTGACGGTGACCCGACGGCGCCCGTCCGCCTAGTTTTGCAAGGCCCCATAGCATGGCTATTGGGGAATGACATGTCATAAAGGAGTGGAAGCGACTCCACGCGAAGAGAAGCAGCACATGGCGTCCAGCCACAGTATCCAAGTAAGCAAAGACATCTGTCTGCAATCTGAAACGAGGTGTGTTTTTTGCTCAAACTGAAACGACTCACGACTCAGTCGACTCGTTCCGACTGCCTCAAAACGACTCGTTCCGACCGGGTCTCTTCAAGGACTTCACTCGCCAAGCTGGGCAGGGCAAGAGTGCATCGCAGCGGTCCTCCAGTGTGGGGCAAACCTCACCGCTGTGGGGGCGAAGGAAACGATCGCGAACGCATCCGTCCGGGTGACCGTGAACTTGGGGTCATTCTCCGGAGTTTGGTTGGAGATTTGACACACATTGCAACACAAATTCGGTCAATGTGTGTGTGGACATGAATCGGTCACATAGTAGTCAGTGCTTTGCAGCAAGGTCTTCCTTATGCACCAGCCACAGCAGCGCAAGAATCACCGACGGCTCAACTGACTCCCATCCGTCCCCACTTCCAGCCCTAGTCACCCCACAAGCGCGGTGCGCGGCAAAGATCAACTCCTGCAGGTCCCGTCGCGTCAGGAGCACCGCCCGCGGAAAACCGAAGCTCACCAGTCCACGACCACGGCTCGCAGCTCGCGTGGAGCTCTTCGAGAAGGGCGCCTTCTGCCAGGAGACCTGAGAGGAGCACGCTTTTGGACCTTTTTGTTGGGTGGAAACATCGCCCGGTCGGGGTCGAGGAAGCCTTTGGACCAGAACTGAGAGGCGAAGCTGAGGAGACGGACCTGCCCCAGGTTTTTCAGCAAGTCCGGGGGTACCGATCAGGCCCTAGTCTGTTTGGCAACAGACTGAGAGGTCTTTCCCGACAGGCAGGTTTATGGGAGGGTGGGTGGCAATGCTTCCGCCCTCTCCACGAAATCCATGTCACGCCAAGTGGTCGCTTTCAGTCTTTCCTCAAGAAGATCAGCTTGGGACTCGGATCTCTGTTTCCACACTCTTCTCCACATGGGAAACCACTCCCCTCCCCGTTCACCTGCTCTGTCCAAGACCATCAGTCTTGCAGCCCAGGTCGCTCCAACAGGCAAGCGCTGGGCATGGTTGTAGAGGCGTTCCAAAAGCTCTCGGCGGATGATGCTCTTCGCCACCTCCGCACCGGCTTCGCACGGGCCAAGTAGGGTGGCTTGCACTGGGCGTCGTCGGGAAAGAGAGCAGTAGCTGTTCCTCTTTCCAAAGGCAATGGCCTCCAACCTAATAGCGATGGCTAGGGCGGCTAGGTGTTTCCTCTTTCCAAAAGGACATGGAGCTCAGCTGACATCTGCGGCAGGTCCTCTGTATACTCCATCCCTTCGCCCGAGCAGAATCCTCCCCGCCTGCGGCCGAAATTGGCTCTCTCGCCTCGGCGAAGACCGAAGGAAGGAAGGGCGAGGACGGACCCACTGCTCGGCGTGGGCTTCGGGCTTGGGAAGGGCCACCCACCTGGGCTTTTTCAAGTGCATCCATGCCACTTCTTGTTGCTGAAGGCATCCAGCAAGAGCTTCTTCATCATGTCCTCGGTACCCATTCCTCCTGCACATCACGGCCATGTCACGGTCGCACTGCAGGGACTACGGGAAAGAGGCCATAGTTCGCGTTCGGCTGGCGGCCAGGGATGACCTTCAACCACATGCATCCACATGCTTGATACTTCAAACTTCAAACAAGCAAATCAATCAACTCGTTCAAGGGTGTACCTATCGACTCGTTCAATTACAATCGACTCGTCAGTCCTCTGGACAACCATATCCTCTGGTCCAACGAAATCTCGGCTTGCACCCAAAATACTTCTGGGCACCGAATACAAATTGGTCAACCCTAAACCCTTCCCCGGGCGCAATCGCGCGAGCGCTGCGGGCTCGGGTTCCTCTCTTGGCCGATTTGGGCCTGGCAATTCCGGATTCCATCCACCCGACCACTGGAGGCCTGACCTATGAAGGTGATGCAAGAAATCACGCGCGATCGCTGAACAGGGTGCTTCTTGCAGGGCTTGTCCTGGTATCCAACTAACATAACTAACCCTCCATGCGGCCCTTTTGTTCCCCGATCTGCTCACGCGTAGAGGAGGAGCTTTTGCATCTCATGATACTCCGCAATCAGCTCCTTCGGCAGATTCACCAAGTGCCGCCGGGCTTCGGCCAGATCCTCGTCATCGCCTTGGAGGGCGAGCAGGCTGCGAGCTGCGCTGCTCTTCGGCTCTGAGGGACTGGGTCCACATCAAACCCCTCACTTAGCTGGAAAGACATCTTTGGTTTTTTAATGGGTTTTATTGTTGTCCACATCAGACCCCATCTTAGGGTTTTATCTTCGAACTTTTACATTGTTTTGATCAAAGACAAAGCAATCTACCGTGAAGACCCACACCGCCGACCCGACGTCGCTGGCCGACCGCCCAGTGGCTGGTATGGTTTGACACACCAGTGGCAGCGCCTGCGCCCGGAACGAAGGAGAATCCATTTTCCCCTCGGTTCAAATCCTCGTGCGAGGCCAAGTCCATGGCCTTCCGTCGCTGCTCCTCGGTGATCTCGTCGCCGAAGAGGAACTCCGTGATCTCCTCGGGCCGCCAAAGCAGTCGGACCGTCGGCGGAAGCCACCAACGCACGTGCTGCGACGGAAGCCTTCGATGGCGAGTCTTTGACTTCGCCCATGGGAAGGCGCCCATGGGAAGGCCTTCTTTTTTGGTCTTTGACTGCGAGTGGACCTCAAAGACAGTTTTTCAGTCCAAAGCAACTCTGGTTCGTTTCAGTCCGAACAGAAATCTCGCTGCAACAGCTTTTCAGTCCAGGCGAAACGTCTTCGGTCACCGTGCAGGTCGGTCACTCTTTGGGTCAGCGTGTGGTCACCGTGTGCAGAGCTCTTTCTCAACTTCTTTTGACGGCACCAAAACACACCGCGGACCATGTGCGGCGACCGAAAAGGAGGATCTAAAAAAAAGAACACGTAAGTCTACACTCCACACGAAACAAAAAAAAGAAAACATAATTCCACAAACACACACATTCCCTATGGAAAGAAAAAGTCGAAAGAAGAAAAAGAAAAATGTTCTGCAAAGCCATGATCTCATGGGCGGTGCGGTTGAAGCCTACCGAACTCTCGGTCATGTGCTCGTAGCGCACCACCAAAACGTCGGGCGCCGCGACCTGCCCCGCGTAGCGACGACGCAAAGGCGCCCAGTGACTTCGACTTGAAGGACAAGAAACAACGAAGATTGTTACAAACTTGGGGATCGCATATGATGAATTAGTCACCAACTTGGTTTATCCATAATTTATTATTCTTGGGAAAGGTTTTGTTTTGTGTTAATAATTTATTCTGTCTATTGGAGGTTGGGGAATTCTTCTTTCTATGCTGATAAGTCCTTTTCTATGTGCAGAAGTCCTTTTTTATGCGGCGGGAATTCTTTTTTTATGTTGGTATGCATGTTTGATATTTGTATTTTAAACTTTGTTGTTCTGTTGCAGGTTGGAGGGTTCGTAGCACCATTTGGGGGGGGCTGTAATCTAGAAGCTCAACTGCGCGGTATATATTCAAGACTTCACCGACATAATCTTTACTAGTAACAAGTGCCACGCTAGTAGTAACAAGTGCCTTACTAGTAGTAACAAGTGCCACGCTAGTAGTAACAAGTGCCTCACTAGTAGTAACAAAGCTATTAGAATCAAGTGCCTTACTAGTAGTAACAAGTGCCTCGCTACTAGTAACAAAAACAAGCAAACCTTATATTCAAGACTTCACCGACCAACAAGACTTCATAGCGCGACGCGGTCATTCAGTCTTGCAGTCATTTAGTCACAGGTCTTTCGCAAACTCCTTGGAGGAAAACAAGTTCGAGAGGCGAGGTTGGTTTACAAGGGTTGCTTGGCCGCCTCGGTGAAAGCACTACCTCGAAGACTAAGCGCTTGCCACCAACAAATCTGACTCCCATGAGCACCATCCCATTCCATCACTGGAAACTTCTAAATAAGCCCCTTTCAATTCCCAATCTCCCAGTCGGCTAGCCTGCCCGAAGCTCCGAAAAAATAGCCCCGAATCGGAGCTGTGCCTTATAAGCTTCCACCATGGTTCTGACCGTGGAGAGCATCCTCTTGGCCATCACAGGGACACCAAGCTCTGGAGCCATCGACACCATGCCAAAGGCTATAGGGTTCGTCGGCTCAGCCCCACGATGATGATAGCCTCGGGAAGGCGAATTGCTTTGAGCGAGAAGCCCATGTCTGTCCAGAAATGAATCTACAGTATGGGATATGAAAAGATTTTTCGATGTGTCCAAATTTGACGTGAAACAGCATAAAGACAGTAAATTAGCTTGAAAAAACATCAGCAAATTCGGAGCTTCAATAGGCGGAGACGACCATCTCCAGAGGATCTCGGATGATCATCACGCCTCGAAAGCCTCCTTTGGATCTCGTCTCATCACGCAACGTCAGGATGTGTGGAGCATCGTTGTGATTCTGAAGACGGATGGTAGATGGGTTGATCCTACAATCCAACTCTTCCCCCTGGCTGACCAACTGTCCCCCCTTGCCCTCATAACAGCAGGAATCCGTCGCACCCAGCGAATCAAAGATCCAGCGCATGGTGTTGCGGAGCAGCTGACTTCCCGCTTTGTGACTGGTGCAAACCACATAGACTCTCTTCTTCAACACACCTTTGTTCGGTCTATAAACCTCTCGCATCTGAAAAAGTCCCGTGCCGAGGTCCTCGCACGACATCTCAGCTGACATCTCGGCCAGCCATGTCGGATGAGCCGGACTCGCGAGAGTCACGACAAAAGACTCCAGTCCGAGACTCCAAAAGAACATGAAACACTTCGCTGGTCGAGATGAAGCCATGGAGTGGGATTGCGCCATGACTTCGCTTCGCTCGAGCCGGAGAAGAAATAAGTGCGAAAAAGACTTTGCTTGAGATGGAACCAAGCATGCAGCATGTGGCAGCATGCTGTGAAGTTTTGGGGTGTTTACTTAGATGCCGTTGCCACTGCCGGTGTTTGCAAGTTGTGACAGTGATTCCTCGGCGATTTGGGGTGATCTATGGTTGCGGGTGATCCAATGTCATCTGTGGTGAAACTATGGTGATTTGTCTGGACTCAAGTTCCAATTCCAACTTCAGGGGCAGATTCAAGCACGAGGCTTCTAGAAGTCTATAATTAGGACTCCACAAGATGCAAAAGAGCAAGAAAGCACCAAACAAACTCCTCTTCAGTGATTTCCACCTTCCAATGCTTCTGCTCTTGTTTTGCAACTGAATCCGAAAAATAGCAAAAAAAAAACTCCGACCTCCCAAACATCAAGGGCGATTCCCCCTTCTTGTGCTCCTCAGGGCAGAACCGCGAGTTCGAACTCGTACGACGGTTCTCCTACACTGTTGGCAATGTCAACAAGGAAAACGTGAAAACGAATCACGACTCAACACTCCATGGCAAACGGATGGCCAGGAGCAGCGAACACCGGGAGCAGAGCCCTCCCGTGCCGCTTAAGCTGTGCTTCCAATCCAAAAGCGTTTGGAACAGAGCAAGCTGACCCCCAAAAGCGTTTGGAACGAAGTGGAATAGAGCACCTCTCCTTGCTGGGCAGGTTGTAGGTCTCCGGCTCGTCCCCAAGCAGATTCGGGCAGGTGACAATGGTGGCATGATCGCCAGGGCAGAACATGAAAATGTCTTCTAAGAGCTCGTTCCTCAGGTCTTCAACAGCTTAGGTCCGTCCTTATCGTTTCCATCTTCGGCCAGTGCCCTACTTGTAGCTCAAACAACTCACACAAGCTCTTCTGACTAGCCATCAACTCCGGAGTAACAATGGTTTCACCACAAACCACATTTGGCTCAAAACAAATGTTGCATTAACTCACACGTGTCATAGGAAACATGGAAACTGTTGATCTATGAAGTCACACCTAGAAAGTGGTAAGAACTTGAAGCGGTTGCCCCAAGTCGGTTCTCTCTGAACCTCCTTCCCGCAACTCAGTTCTCGCTCTGTTTGCACTTCAGGCGGCTCTTGTTTGAACCACATCTGCTCATAGACGTGCTTCGTAAGGGAGCGCAGGCGCCACTGAAAGCGCCTGCAAACAGGCTTGGCCCGTATGTCACATTGACGAATCTTCTGCTAGCAGAAGAGGTCTTGATCACTTGAAGTGGTGACTTCTGGTTACCACAAAGGGCATGACTTCTGGTTAGCACAAAGGGCATCGCTATAGTAACAAGGGCATCCCTACTAGTAGCAAGAAGCTATTAGGTTGGAGGCCATCGCTACTATAGTAACAAAGTGCATCGCTACTAGTAGCTCCTGGCATCGCTACTCGCTCGAAGCTAGTCGCTCGAAAACCGCACCTCCAGGTCCGTTGCAGCGCCTTCAGCCGCCGCACATAGCGTTGGATCGGCAGCTTCACTCGAAATCCCAAGGGCGGCGGGATGGACATGAAGCCCTGCAAGACCTCCGCCGCCTGGACATGATTCACCGTCGGACTGCGAAGTCGGCGCGAGAGGCCGGTGCGGAACTAGCGCGGTGCTGGCGCGGTGCCCCCCCGTGTTCAGCGGTTGGGTGAGGTTGGTGGAGCGCTTGGCGCCATGCTAAGCCATGCCATGCCAAGCCAAGCCTTCTTCTTCTTCCAGGTCCGAGACCAGCTGATGAGGCGCCGTACCAGCGCATAGAGCCTGACACGTCCGCAGGACGTTTGAAGGGAGGTGCCCCAACCCTGGTGGTTTCGTTTTCGTCCAAAACAGCGGCGCTTAGATGGGCGGAGAGTGGCAGAGGGTAGATGGGCGAGACCTCGCGAAGCAAAAACATAGCCCGAAGACCTCTTCAATCAAATACATCATTCATGAAGCCACTAGTAGCTAGAAGCTACTAGGTTGGAGGCCACCGCTATTAGGTTGGAGGCCATTACTAAGTAACAAAAAGCTTCAATCGAAGTTTGCTGATTGAAAGAGTGAACTGACCAGCGCCTCAAGAGCCCACCCGGGGCCCTTGAGTCAAGCACTACAGCAGCAACCTAGGTATGCTGTCCGATCCTTAGGTCCTATAGGTCTCAGACTTCACTCACCTCCGGAAATGAAATGCTTTCAAACTCTTTGGATCACTTCCAACTGATCTTTGGCAAGGTCGGTGGTTCCGAAAATAAAAAAAAAGTTGACATCCGCCGGTCCGCCCTACCCTCTCCGAATCCCTCCGGCCTGCAGGCCATCGCCATGTTGTCAGCCACTTCTCCACTGAAGATTTGGAAGAGCGTCTCCTGGTCGACGTCCGATCGATCGCGGGGTTCACCCGATCCATCGACGACGTGTTCACCAAGGGGTGCACCGGCGCGGGACTCGATGCAATGATCCCCACGGATCAACCACAAGACCAAGTGAAGAACTCTGAAACTCTTTTTCTTCACACGTATCCAGAGTTCTCCCTTTCATGCCGAACAAAACAAAAAAGACCTGATCGAACGAAGAACTCTCCTGATCGAAGAGCCTGGTGAACAGCTTCATGACCTTGCTAGGCATGTACTTGGCCAAATTCTCCAGGGCCTTGGCTTTGAACGCAGAACGCTCCGAGAACGCTCCGGATCGGAGAATGGAGCGATCAGAAAGAGGTCAGGAACGGAGCTCATTTCGGTTGATCAGACCCAAAACCAATCACTACTCACTATACTACCTATACTCACATCTACTCTTAGTGCGGTTTTCATGAGGCTTTCACTGGGTCGGACAGACCTCTCGAGTGGGCGAAATGGACTGAAAACCCCCGGAGCGCCACCGAGGGGCCAGCTGCACACGGGCCTCGTCCTCCGCCTCCTCCGCGCCATGGAGCCGCAGCCCTCGCCCGGCGGAGGTGCTTCCATCCCCGCGGAAGAAACGGTTCCTGAGAGCGGAAGAAGACGTTTCGCGGAGACGACCGCTTCGGAGACGACTTGCTTCGGAGTGACTCGGCAGGTTCTGAAAGGGAAGGTGTTTTTCCCCAAGAGTCGTCGTGTCTGAATCAGAGCTAGTTTCTGAATCGTCCTCTGTTCGAGCATGGCATCTTTGGCAAGGGGTGACGGGGTGTAATCTTCTTTAGACGTTGGAGCCCCCAAAAGCCAAATCGTCGGGAAGTCCGCCAAACGTGGTGTGAGACTTGGGCCACCGGACTGTCCGGCACTCCAAGACTGAGATACATTTCATAACCTGAAGCATCCTGAAACTACTTCTTCCTACTAGTGACAACAGGCTTTTCAAAGGGCACAAGTCTGGGTGTCACTACCTCTTGGTGCTGACCACAATGTGCCACTTCTAAAGGGGAGCAGGTCTTGTAACCAGGCACAAAATCATTGCGGTTTCAGGTGATGACGTCTGAAAAAAAGAGGTGTCCAACCACAAGGCACCAAGTCAGTGCCTTGAATTCTCTTCTCGGATTTCCAAGTCTCCGGTAGTCCTCCGCCGCTGCCCGGTGCATCTCTTCCAGCTGCATCTGGCGCTTCTTCTTCGCCAGGTCTGTCCGCGCACAGCGCCTGGCGACGAAAGCGTGGTTGAGGATCCAGTAGAAAAAATACTTTGAGGAACCTACTGGCGATGGCCTCCAACCTACAAGCATTTAGAGAGAGAGTTCCCAAGCTCCTCCCAGGTCGTCCTGGCAAGGGTCCTCCCGTCAAATCAGGCGTCGGCTTCACCAAGCTTCACTCCATCTTGACCCTCATCATAATCTTCATCAATCATCTTATTATTCATCATCATCATCATCATCATCATCATCATCATCATCATCATCATTTTCTTCTTCTTCTTCTTCTTCGTCGTCTTCTTCTTCCCACCTGAGGTTCTGCATCTCCAGCTGCACTCGATGCTGCCACTGGAAGTCCGTGGCACTCCGCCGGTTCCGCGTCACGAAGTCCACCGCCGAGGACGGCCGCGACGCCGGAGCCGAGCCGCCGCCGCCCGGAAGCGACCGAGCGGCGCGGGCGCGGGAGGACTCCCGGGCGGCCAGGAAGCGAGAGAGCTCCTCCGTCTCGAGCTATGCAGAGCTATGTGCAAGTTCGATGTGCAGCTATGAATCAGCCTTTTGGTCTCTACCCCTTATACAACTGAACGTAAGGCTAGCCCACAGATCACACCCCACGCCAACTCCACGGTCAGTCCTCAGGCTTCAAAGGCCCCTTCCCCAGCTCCCGCTGCAGCTCCAGCGCCACCGAGCCCCCTGGCGGCACGAGCGGAGCGGCGTCCAGCAGCGGCTCGGAGCTCGCGCGGCGCAGCGCGATCTTCCGCCGGAGCCGGTCCTGCGCCGGAGTCGGGCCAGCTTGCCGCCACCAGACTGCCATCGATTCGAAGTCGTGTGTTCGTGGATCAAAAGGAATCTCTGTAGTGATGCAAGCATATGGTTTCCCTATTGCAAATGCATCTCTACATCTGCGTTCGACAAAAAAGATCAAGCACGCAAAAAGGGCCAGGCGAATTAACATCAGCTGCTGTGGCGCACTACCAACCGACAGGTTTCGCCCAACATCCCCAAGCAGCAGCAAGCAGCAGCAAGCAGATCCCACGCCTGCAGTGAGCCACCGGAACCTTTCGGCGTTCGCCTTCGCTTCGGGCTGACGTGCCGCGCACCGCGCGCGCCGCCGTCGTGGAGTGCGGCAGGGCGCTGCCGACGTTGCAACGTCTTCAGCTGGGCATCAATCTCCTGTCGGTTCTAACAAGTGGACGCTACGAACGGAGCAAAGGGCATCGCTACGAACGGAGCGATCGGACGCTACGAACGGGGCTCCTGGCCGTACTACTAGGAGCAAGAAGCTACTAGTCCAAGGTCGAAGCCGCCATCGCATGAAAATGTCTGGACGAACCGGTCTTCCAAAACGGCACTTGCCGCACTTTCACCGGTGTCTTTCGTTGCTCCAACACGAATCCAACTACTAACCATGGCCTCCAACCTACTAGGGATGGCTCGGATGGCCTCCAACCTAATAGCGATGGTCTCCAACCATAGTAAATGGATCAAGTCGGATCAAGCTCCCCTGGCTCCTCTTGGACGCGAATGCAGTTGGCCTTGATCTGCTGAAAACGCCGTGGACTGATTGGCACCTCCCGACCATTCCCGACAGACGCGGGGACCAGGAACTGGGTCGGTCCAGCTATACAGGTCCAAAGACCCAGAACCAGGTCCTGGAAACCTCCTTGAGTAGTGATTTTATATGATCAACTTCAGTAAGACGTGATGTCTTTGACCTGTAGGGTATGTCCTCAGAGACATGCTGCCATACTCATGCTGAAAGCATAAGGCGATCCGTTTTCCATGCTCAAGAACCCAAACAATCTCTGATTGTTTTCGGAAAGGACGTATTCCGTATACTTGATCTACTTGTTCCCGACTTATTCCTTCAAAACGTCAGGCCATAGTCGCTAGTCCCTTCGACCTCATCCGCCCGCAGCTTGTCGGCCCGCAGGATGCGATGCTCCTCACGGCGAAGGAAGTCACAGAGGCCGGGGTTTCTCAGAAATGTGGTTCTTGAAACAACCCGACGTCGTGCAGCTCGATGCAGCTTGGTCGGCTTAACGAGAAACTGGAAAGAAAGTATTTGGTCAGCCAGCATTAACCTTCCCTGCCAAACAGCCGAAAATACAGACCTTCGCATCCTCCGGTTGAATCCAACCCCAGCTTGGCCCCGGCCTTCACTGTCTCTAGCTCCATGGGAAGGTGACGGAGGAGCTAGAATGTCACATGTCACGTACTTGTGTCAACTCAAATCGAGTCATATCAGCCGAAGTGATTGGCAGTGACATCCCGGAACCCAAGCGTCCACAGAGTTTTTCAAGGGTGTTGTGTCCTTTCCAAACCATATTAGGAACCGAAGAGATCCCGAACTGAACTTCGCTGCTTGGCCTTCACAATTTTCCGACTGCCGGCTTGGCCTTCGTGCTTCAGCCGACCTTTGCGGCCACACTGCACGCGAGCCAAGCGCTGAACCCGTCAGAACCGGTCGGACACGGGCGTTCACGTGCGTTGAAAAAGGTGGAGAAGGGACAGGGAGGTGCAGTCAAACCACCGGAATCCTCAATTTCTGGAAAACCAACTGTGCGGAGTAAAATGGTCCGAACTCCGGGGCCCAGACCGCCCAAAAACCTAAAGCTTAAGGAGATGGTCACCCTCTCAAAAGGGTTGGCCAGCGACCGAGCCCATGTTCACTGTCTCATTTCCAATCCCAAAACGGATCCCGTATACAGATCTCTCAAACGCACCTGCCAGCAGGGCAGTGACTGGCCTGGCAACAAAGCTAGTACAGCTGATGTCGGCTGATAATCTCTGATACTGAGTGTTTTGTTTCAAAAAAGGAGGCCATCGCAGCTAGCAAGAAGCTACTAGGGGGCCATCGCAAGTAGGAGGGAGCAAGGACGCCATTAGGTGGCTTCTGGAGTCCGTCCGCCTGCGCCTGCGCCCAAACAGAAGCAGCTCAGGTGGGAGGGACCGGTGGTTTTGGGAGGCCTCTAAGAGTCAGGAGGCACAGCCGTTGGTCTCCAGGGCTCAAAACTGCGTCACCTCCCTGACATCCGCTTCAACCAGCACAAACCGTGCTGGTCAGCGCGTGTTCTCACGGCTTCAACATCAAAGAGAAGCATGTTTGATCCATCTTTGACTCTGGAAAAATGCGGGCCCAAGGGCCAAGAACTCGAAGAATTGGGTAGGACCGGCCCAAGGGCCAAGCAACCAATGGCCGTCCAACCGAAGGTTCTTTGCCATTCAAATGCCCCAAATCGCTTCATCGTTCAACGAGGTCGCGCGTGGGTGCGCTCCCACGCACCTCCGCTCTCGACCTGGAGTCTTTCGCGGAGACGAAGAAGGACCAATAGGGCCAAGCAAAACGAACTCCTCACCCCAGTGACCGGGTTTCAAGTACACCATATGTCTCATCTCTCAAGAGAAGGGTCCCAATAAATTAAGGTCATGTGGCCACAGAGCTGAAGCCTAGACATCCAACTTCGACTGGGCTAGGAATCTGCTGAGGCCTCGTTTCAGTTCGAAGTGTGCTGGAAACAACCAGTTGGATTTGTTGAGCTACATCATGTTGATTCACCAATACAGTTCTTTGGTTTTGCAAACTGGGTAGCAAGCTAGGGTGGAATTCTTGTTTGGACACCATTGCAAAGTAGACTACGGGCCGCCCTTCAGCAAATGGATCTGTGCAAGGACATTCAGCCAAGGCATGCGAAAACTGGATGGGACAGGTACCCAGATTTCGCTGGTTTTAATCAAAATGAAGTGGTATTATTACTAGTATTGGTAATAATAACATTAAAGAAACCAAAAAGTGAAAGTAACATAAACGAGCTTTGCCACTCTTCTTCCCATACAGCACCATACGGCACCATATGGCACCTCTCGGAGCCAAGCTCTGCAAGCGAGACATGGCGCGAGCTCGATCGATCAGAGGTCGTCGTCTTGGGGGCAACGCTGCGTAGTTCGATCAACCAGGAAAAACCGAGGCAAAATATGTCAAAAGGTGATAACGGGAATCAGAAGCCACAAGCTGATTGAAAACAATTGCTTCAAGCTGCATAATCAGATCTATCTGAGTTATCTGAGCCAAAAGGGATGCAAGAACGCCTCGATGGCATACCACTCTGGAAAACAACACCGAAAACGCCGTGGTGCACGAAAGGGTCCACACCCGACTTCTAGGGTCCCGAGGCGCAAGTGCTGCAAGGGAGTGGAAGGGAAGATCTGAGAAGAAAAAACTGTCTGGCAGCTTCAGTTGGCCAGCTATAGCAGCTAGTTGCCAGCGGCCCCGGTCTCTCTTTTTGTCCCGCGGCTTGAAAACCCTGTGTGTTGATCACTTTCGATCCAGCCCTTGCGGTATCCAAAGCAGCGATGAGCCAAGCAGGGGGTAGGCAGCGAAAGCTGCGGTGTGGTGAGAAACCCGAGCACGGGGCCGTTGTTTGGCACAAGACGGTCAGCCACGAAACTCCTCCGGGAGATTCAGAGGGCCAAGACCCGGGAATTGCGAGACGAACTTGGCTGCCGTCCTCAGAGTTCAGGCGCGCTCGTGATCCAAGCCCTGGTGCATCAACGTGCAGACTGGTGTTTGTCTCATTGTGGGAAACAGGGGACTGAAAGACTTTCAGGAACTGGTGTTCAACAGAACTGTTCAACAGCACTATGTGGTTGCAAAGCCAAAAAACTCGTGAAAGGATCTGGAAAAACCGGAAGTGAAGGTTTCCCTGCCAACCTGTGATGCAGAGCTGATTGGAAGCCATGTTTCCCTGCTTTGATCATGTCGAGTCCAGTTTGTTCAAGCTCCTTGAGGTAGAGAGTCAAAAAGATCCTCGGAAGACAACTTCAGAATTGCACCGTCGTCTCGCGACCGAGAGCGACTGTCAATTCCCTGCACAATGAAAGACATTCCTAAGCTGGTCCCTTTTTAACTGCCGGCAGAAGGCAAGTACTGCCAGGACCATCTTTCTTGAAGCCCCAAGTTCCATCCACATCCCTCAATCAAAGAAGAATCTCCTGCCAAGCAACGTAAAGAAGCTGTTGCTCAAGCACTTTGGCAGGCATCCACCAGTCTCGGTTTGTGCCACCAGTGTAGCTTGAACTGAGCCGCCCCCCTTCCTTCGGCTTAAATTCGTAGCCTCAGGAAAGCCCCGGTGAATAAGGTTACATCCGTCAAGTTCTTCCTTACGACCACTTAGTAGTTTCTACTTGGCAAGAAAATCACTTGTTCTTGGTCTAGTTTAAGCAAAGAGATCCTGCGGCGCCGCTTCCACCAATCGCCGCAAAGTCCCCACTCCAATCCACAGTCCGGTATCTCTTCCCTTCAATAGATCACCAAGCCGCCAAAGATGAGATTCGTCCCTCGGACAGCTCCCGGAAAGGTCGGCACCTCTGCAGAACCTGGCCACGGATGGGGCAGAACCTCACACTTGACATCCAACCTACTAGCGATGGCCTCCACCCTACTACGCGATGGCCTCCAACCTGCTAGCAATGGCCTCCAACCTTATACAACGTGGGTTAAGACCCAAAACCGATGCGGATGAAGATCCGATATTCTCAGAATCAGCCCACTGAAAGTGACTCGCCTCCCCGGCTCTGAGCCGGTTGGGGGCATCATGTGGGGTCGATTGCACTCAAATATATAGTATCTTCAATCCAGGTCTATACGTTTGCGTCCTGGACATAAATGCACCGTGCCACTCTGGTTCTAGACCAACGACCAAAATGCACATGAGACATATTTAATGCTGTCAAAACACAAACAAATCAAAAAAGAGCTCACTTCGGCTGAAGCCAAAGCCGCAGCAGCTGAGAGTGCCTTGCACCAGTGTCCCATCAGCCTCTCTGGCCCAGCCACTGAAATCCACATAGTCCCTCCACGCGATGGGGCCGCCCGGTGGAGCGATGGTGTACCTCGCGGCTCCGTGGCAACGTGATCTTTGGTCCAAAGAAAATGTATTTGTCTTATCGTGATATTCCTCAAGAAGACCAGACTGAGAGAGGAGCTCCATAACCCATCATGGTTCCCCTTAGCCCATAATGGTTCCCCTTCTGAAAGCAGCACTTGTCCAGGTGACAAGAGAGCGACGAAAGTGTGCATCGACGTGTTGATTGTCTATCTGCCTGGGTCACCTTGCAGCAACAACGATGTTGCGACCAAGGTACACCATAAAGCTCTGCTCATCTGGGAAAGTGTGGAAAAACTGAACAGTGGCCAACCCCCATTCCTTAAAGCCAATCTTCTGGGCATCAGCTAGCATGGCCACGGCCAAATCAGCTGGAATCTTGAGGTCCCCAGTGAGGCGGAAAAACCTCAGCGCTAACCTTGACCACATGTCTGTGGCCATCGGTCAGGCGCGAAAGCTCTGGGACCTTCCAACGCTATGTCAAACATGGCATGAAATGTAGACATCTAGCTTGAGGACAATTTCTACATGAAATTTCCGACCTGCGTAAGAAAGAGAACCAAAGAACTAAGCAGTTTGTAGCGCCTACCAATCTTGGTTCATTCCGTTGCCACGGGGCGCATTGCCATTGTTCTCAAGAGATGGATTCCTCTCATAGGTGATCCCATCCGCCTCCCTCTCTTTCACGAAGCCCGGATAATCGGCCGAGGAGAACTTTCGGATGTCGCCCAAGAGGCGCCGGCGAAGCTCCGACACGGTGAGGGAGGCACCATCCCAAACTTGCAGTTTGTACTTGGGATCTTGCAGGTCCAAAAGGAACCGCGGAGAGAAGGGCGCTTGTTTCGCATCCACCCAACATCCAAGCCCGGACTTCTTGTAGACTGACACCCTCTTGGCTGACTCTCTGGCAGATTGCTTCTCACACCTCAATCAAAGAAGGTATTGCTGGGAGCATCAACTACCCCCAACGGGTCCCCACAACCAAACAGGTGCACATGATACCAAGACACTGCCAGGGGCAGCAGCAAAAGAGGCATGCAAGCGAGGTTTCGACATTGTATGCACAACACCAGCAAATAGGCGACATGTCTTCAGATGCCACCCATCACACTCCGCTTGAATTACTTGTTTCGAGCCAAAACCATACAAAAGGGATCAAAACTGTCTCATTTGAAACTCTCCGAGCAACTTCACACACAAAGAGATATCATGGAAAGACATCCAACCTGACAGGTGAGCATCCATGTTTCAAAAAAACTGCACCAAACTTGAGATTTTTGTCTGCAGCTGGTGTTCCATGTTGTTGGTTTTTGAGGCTTTTTGGGAGATCCAAACTGACCATCCGAAGGTGCTCTGGATGCAAGACCGTACACTGCACTGCACAT